TCTGGGTCCTCATTTCACCCACCTCGGAAGGATGGAAGGCTGAGTCAACCTTTAAGCCGGTGAGATTAGAACCGCTGAACTGCAGATAACAGTCAGCTAAAGTGGCCTGCAATACTGCACCCTAACCACTGCACCACCTCGACTCAACGTCAAAGGCGCACGGAAGGCTGTTCCCTTCCCACCAAAGGTGGTGCCTATTTTTCTACTTGCTTTCGAACGGCTCGGTTGGCAGAAGCTGGGACGAGTCACGGGAGCTCGCTCCGTTACGCGGCGCTAGGGATTCGAACCGCCAAACTGCCGACCTTTCCGATCGACACGCTCAGCGTCGTAGCCCCCCGAGCCGCCGCGTCCCAAAATAAAATGAGCAGCGAATAAAATCTCATCGGGGAGTCTTAGCAGCCCCCATCCCACCAGACCAGGTTTTGGAAGATTTCTCGGAGCTGATGGCAGCTCTCGTTCCTCCTCTCAGATCGAAGACATGCTGAACGAAGTCAAATTCAGCGAGTTCCTGGACACCGGGAAGCAGGTCAGCAAGATTAATTTGGGGGACTTCATCAAGCTGTACGTTAACCACCGACCGGCCTTCGGCCTGGCCTCGAAGGAAATTCAGCAGGCCTTCGAAATTTTGGGCTACGAGAACCAGGACCAGGAAGCCGCCATCAGCCGAGATGACCTCCTCCTTTTGCTGCAGCACAAAGGTCGGTGTGTGTGTGTGTGTGCGCGCGCGCGCGTGCGCCTGCATGGACGTCGTCCATGTGAAACTGTGGGACACGTTGTTGATTTTGATCGTTTGAGGTGACCGATTGATTTCTCGTTTTCCTCGAGCAGGAGAGCATTTCTCTGAAGAAGAATTGGCCGAGTACCTCACCACGCTTCTGGGCTTCAACCCCGAGGGCGGCCGTGTGGAGGCCGGCAGCTATGACCCCACAGGTGCTGAACCGCAAACCCCGCTTGCAAAAATGGGGAAATCTTTGTGGCTGCTGTTGTGGCCTGCTAGCGGAGCTGGCAGCCGATTCGGACCGTGAGGAGGGTTGGGGAGGAACCTGGGCCAGTCCTGGAGTCTGGGGAAGGCTCTGAGGAGAGCTCTGTGTCGGAGGCAGAGAGGGGGCCAGGGACGTCCGATTGCCTTTGGAGTCAGATGTCAGCGAGGCAGCGAGGAACAGCTGGAGCCTGTTCCCAGTGTGTTGCCAGACGAAGGGAACAGCTAAAAGAACAGGGGTCGACTTGGGAGTAAGGCCAGAGGTGGACGGTGAATGGCCCCTCCCAGAGGAAGTAAAAGAGGAGCGAAATACATTTAGGGCGAAACAAGAGATCAAATTGTAGGGAAACCCAACCAGGCGAATCTAAATGAATGTTAAAAGCCCCAAAAAACAGGCCATTTCCCCCTAGATAAAACTCAGGGTACAAAGCAGTACTTGTCCACTGTTAAAAATAAAGTTGGACTCAACTTTTTTGAGGAAAGAAACCTGCTTTTCTTGGCATGCTACGGCATTGGCTTCCTACTACTTCCTTGCGGATTCTCCGCCTAATTTTCAAGTTCATCTTAGAGCCTGGGGATCGCTTAGTGGTCTCCTATCCAAGTACCTGGGGGGGGGGGCGAGGAAAGGGCGGAAATATGTCCCAATTGGGATCTTCTCCCTCTCTCTCTCTTTCTCTCCTTCCCAGGAATATGAGAATAGCTGCATTGCAATTAAAGGGCAAAAAAATAATCAATTCAATGGGTTCCACCACAAAACCGCGGTAGACTAAAGCGCGCTCGACAAAAGCGCGTACCTGACGTCATCACAGCGCGACG